AAATAAATAAATAAATAAAAATAAATTTAAAACAAACAATGGCATACCAAGTGGCAGTCTATTCAGATTGAAACAATAGCAGAACAGAATTGCTTTGACCGTCTTCCAAAATGCCATCTCAGATCTCCAGGGGTAAAGAGTTCCACAGCATGAAGGGCACAACCAGAAGTTCCTGCCTTCTTGTCCATGTCCCCCTAACATTCCATAGGGAGGAACCCCTTAATCTTCACTGTCAGTTGGTCAATCAAACTTTATTGCATCTGACTAAAGACCCAGCAAGAATGCACCCCAAAAAAGTATTAACACTATAATAGTACTACATTATATATTATTATAACATTTGTTGTTATATTTATAACAATAAATGAAGATGCTAAAAATCAAACTTGGCATAATGGTTCAGGGCAGGTATGGGGAATCAAAATGGACTAGTTAAACCAGTGTAGTGTATATTACACCTGGAAGTTTATGGCACGCATGTGTATGTATGCGGTGCTGTAAACTTCCGGGCATACATATGTGGTGTGCCATGGTTGAACGTATGAACAAAATAGACTTATGAACAGCCTCTTGGAACTTAACACATTCATAAGTAGAGGACTGTCTGTACTATAAGTAAACTTCAAATTAAAGTTAGATGGAGCAAATGGACTTCAAAGGAATGAAAGTCCTACCACTATTGATAAATACTGCTTTCCTCAAGAATCTTTTCAACACATCTGCCAGTTAATTCTGCACTGCTTAGTTTCTGGGTTCCAAGTCTCCATAGGATAGATTGGGTCTCCTCATCTGTGTATGGAGGAACTTGAACTTGGGTGGGAGAACCAATTTCAAAGGCCCTCTGAGACTCCCTAGGAAGTTTTACAACTCATCTCTTCAATATCTGATATGGGAGAAAAGAAGGAAATGAGGATGGGCTTCTGAGTACTTGATGGCCATGCAAGAAAGGTCATTAGCCTCAGATATACTTTGGACTGATTTCTAATCTATGTCTTGGAACTTGAGCAGATTAATTACTTCTTATTTCCTTTGAGTCACAGGGAATTCTTCAATACATACATAGCAAAAGCAAAAGTAGCAAATGTAAAAGAGTGGAAATGCCATTCCTTCTTCCTTTCTATTTTGCCAGTGCAAGCCTGGCAGGGCTTCAGGTTCTTTGGGCTGGAAGTTATCTATGTAGGATTGCTCTGAAAAAATGTTGAAGCAAAGTACTGTTTTTTTTAAACAATCCCTTAAGGCCATCTGCTTTCTCCAGGGTCTGACGAACAGGCAGTACACCAGACCCGTATTTTTATTGCTCACCCAAAATGCAATAAGACTTTGGAGCTGGAGAAGAACACAGATTATCTGATTTGGAGTCTCAAAACTGATGTATGGTTCACAAGGCAGTATGTATTTCATTTTATTTCCCATTATCCTGTTAGAAGACACCTACCATGACCCTACATATTACTCAGAAAGTTCTTAAATTCTCCTTATTTCCTTCCATTAACTTTCTTTGCTTATTTATTTATTTTATTTGCTAGGGAACGCGGGTGGCTGGCAGGGGTTACAGGCGGGTGCTAGGGAGTGTGAGCAGGCCAGCAAGGGCCACAGGCAGGTGCTAGGGAGTGTGGGTAAGTCAGCAAGGGCTGCAGGTGGGCCATCAGGGGCTGCAGGCAAGCTCTAGGGAGCACAGGTGGGCTGGCAAGGGCCACAGGTGCAAGCTACAAAGTGCGGGTGGGCAGGGAGTGCTGCAGGTGGGCTCATGCTATGGAGTGCAGGTAGGTGGAGAAGGGGCTATGGGATCTCATATTCTGTAGTGGGGCTCCTTAGGAGAAGAAGCACCAGGAATGATTTATGGGAACGACTTGCGACCTTCCCTTCCGGCTTTCCCATTAACTTTGCTTATAGGAAACTGGCAGGGAAGGTCACAAATGACAATCACATGACACTGGGGATGCTGCAATGGCTGCAACTTCGTGGACCGGTCATGAGTCCCCCTCATTCAGTACTGCTGTAATTTTGAATGGTTGCCGAATGAGTGGTCATAACTCAAGGACTACTTGTAGAACCAAAACTATATAAAGCTTTGTTTCTTGCTCTACCCTCATTTTTTCTCTCTCTCTTAAATATCTCTTTTCATTCTACTTTATTTTGGATGGCCTGAATCTATCACCAAGTTGACAGCACAACTTGACCATTGCATGGACAAGTAGTTGGCCAACCTTGAGATATTATGGCTGAGATTAGAAAGTATTTAATCTCCTTTAATTGAATGGTCATCATATAATGAGAAATATTACTGACAATGTGCTGGGGATATCAGTCAATTTTCCCTCAACATCCAGATTAATCAGGTGGCTTGTCCCATCTAAAAGCCCAAACTTTCTTTTATTTTGCCAGATACTATTACTTAATCAGTCAACATACCTGGATTGAGAAATGGCCCAATCAGGAAGAATGCCAGGAAAAAAAGTATCAACAATTATGCGAGGACCTTGAAGAATTTGACCGTACACTGACCATCTCTGGCTGTGAAAGCATTTAATTTCAGAAGTCTTATGGCAGTGACTCATATGAGAACTTCCTATAGCTGTTGCTGCCCTATTTTCCCATCATTTGTTCATAATTTCTGTGACAAACAAATACTTTATTACTTTCCAAGGTCTCTTTTTTTCTGGATTGTTAATTAACAGCCCCCCCCCAAGATGTTCCCTACTAAAGTTCTGTGGGGGGAAATCATGTTTAAGAGAATAAAGGCAGTAGCATTTGCTTCAGAGGTGAACATATCTGCTTAACGTTATTTACAACTTTTTTAGAAGAAATGCCAAGACAATTCCATATGAGGACTTTCTACCAGTTCAAAGTAAGTGAGTGACCCTGTTTCAAGGCATATTGCTCTAAAAACACAAGCAGCCTGGAGTTTTGCACATGAAAAGATGGAAGAATATTTCCATTTCATCCCTGCTCAGTTCATCTGGGGTGGGAAGACCTGCAACTACCTGCAAACAATCAAATAATCCAGATCAACCCTGGCTGCCATTAAAATGGAATTTGTTCAGCCTGTCTGCATTGTTTTGGACTTATCTCCCCACTACAGCCACAAGCAACCCATGGATAGAAATATTGGGAAAAACACGAGGTGGTAAAACTGCCAATAGGGTGTTAATACACTTTCAAAGCATGTAAATGCAGTGTAGCAATTGCTGGTGAGGCACATAGGATTTTGTTTTTTACAAACACCAATACTACTCCGCAACTCCACTTCTAGAAAATAACATGGGTGGAAACACATATTATACAAAGCCATTTTCATCTCTTTTGACAACTTTTCATCCTTTGCAAAAAACCAGAGATTCCAAAT